GTCTATACCAACGAAATGTTGGCAATTGTGATCGCAATACAGATATGACGACCTTCTTTAATAAAATGTAAGTTCTTCATCAAGACATATCAGTGCAGTCTAAAAAATATATTAGAACAACGAATTGCTACTCTCGAACAACAGAAGTGGGTTTCTAAGCTATTTGGATATGATTATAAGATTATCTATAAGCCAGGGAAAGAGAATATGGTCGTTGACGCACTCTTTAGACAAGTGCATAACCTAACTTTAGACGCCTTGTTTATGTCCCACAATCATATACGGGAGAATATCAAGAAATAAACTACAAGTCATCCTTACATGAAAAGAATTGGGCATCCAACAAGCTAGAACAACCTTACAACCAGAATAATAGATTAATTCTTTACAAAAACAAGGTAGTGGTACCTCTGAGATCCGAAATCATATAACAACTCCTACATGTTTACCATGATTCACATCTAGGAGACCATTCGGGAGTTCTTCGTACCTACAAGAAACTTGCACAACAATTCTACTAGCCTTCAATGCGACGAGTAATACAAGAATATGTATCAACTTGTGAGACATGTCAACGAGCTAAATATGACACACTCTCCCTCATTGGTCTCCTCCAACCATTGCTTATTCCTTGCTAAGTATGGAATGACACCACCATGGATTTTATTAGGGGGCTACCACCATCCCAAGGTAAAAACACAATTTTGGTTGTAGTAGATCGTCTTAGCTAGACAACCCACTTATTGGCCTTATCTCACCCCTATACCGCAAGAACTGTAGCTAATGAGTTTTTTAAAGGGGTAGTAAAACTTCACGTAATGCCACTTTCCATCATTAGCGACCGGTATTCCATCTTTATCAGTCATTTTTGGAATGAGTTCTTCAAAATGTCTGGTATCCAACTAAAGATGAGCTCTTTATACCATTCTCAAATCGATGATCAAACAGAAGTTGTCAATCGATGTGTTGAGTAGTACCTTCAGTGTCTAGTCCATTAGCAACCTCGCAAATAGAGCTCCCTCCTACCATAGGTAGAGTTTTGGTACAACACTACTTTTCCTTCATCTATTGGGATAACCTCCTTTCATCCATTGTATGGGCAACCCCCTCCCGCCATTCTGCACTATCACAATGGAATGACCATTGTTAATGAAGTCGACCAACAGCTCAGTGACCGCAATGAACTACTCACACAACTTAAGGCCAATTTACATGCCGCTACCAACCGCATGCAACACCTAGCGAATGCCAAAAGATGTAACTTGGAATTTCAAGTTGGAGATCAGGTCATTCTCAAGCTCTAGCCATATCGGCAACATACCGCCTTTGGAAGGGCAGTCCATAAGCTATCATGTTGTTTCTTTGGACCATACCAAATAGAATAGAAGCTGGGACCCGTAACATACAAGCTTAAGCTACTAGAAGGAACTCGGATCTATCCCATCTTCTAGGTGTCACTGCTTAAGAAGAAATTAAGAAATTTTGTAATGTCAATCCAAAAGTTGCCACCCACAACTGAAAAAGGAGACATCATATTGCAACTAGAGACCATCCTCAAAACATGTTGGATCAAGAGAGATTCTAAATTTGTGGAAGAAAGTCTAATTAAATGGCAGCACTTACCACCTGAAGATACAACCTGGGATGCAAGAACTCTTGGACATTACTCAACATAAACCTTAGAGACAAGGTTCCTTCAAATGGGAGGAGTAATGATAAGCCCATAAATGAGCAGCATAAAAGGTCCAACAGGAAGCTCATGCCAAACCCAAAATATCTACACTAGACAAAAGAAGAAAAACAAAAAAAAAGGAAGTTCAGAAGAAGCAGTCAGCACCTTCAAACGTGCCACCACTAGAACCGGTCAATCATCTTCAGTTTTTATTTTCCATTATCTCATCCATTATCTTGTAGTTATTAGCTTTCAATTTTTAATCTTATCTCCATTCGTAGAAATAGGGAAGATAATTACTTTCAATATGTATTTAAGGACTCACGCTTGATGAATAAAATCATAGTACTTTTCACAACAAATTTTCTAGTTTCAATTCTCCCATAAGCAGGATTATTCACTTCTCTTACTGGACCTATAGAATTACATGGTTAAAACTCTAAAAATTTCAAAATTCGAATCCACTACAAACTTACTAAAACATAATGTTGGGAATTTGAGTCAACAAAGTTTTTTTTTTTCCTCTCCTTTATGATCCCATCTGAACACTTATTTTAAATTTTTATGCTAACTTTTTTATCTGAAATCAGGTAAATGATATATTTCACTTTTTATAGTGTTAAAAAGTTCTACAAGCATATTTCTCTAAACAATTTTAAGTATATAATGCATAAAAATTTTGATTTATACAAAAAACATCAAATTCTCCTTCATTCATATGAAAAATTACAGCTATATGAAAAATAAAAAATTGTGATTACTCATATGAGAAGGAACTAATAAAATTTTCTATATTCCAACACAATCTAATAACAATAAGTACATTGTAACTTAACAAATGAGTTTCAGCATTACTTAAATAAAAATAGCAAAAAATTAATACACCTCATGGATTATCAGAATGACCATTGTTCAGTAAGGTGCCTAAAGCTGGCGCCCATGATTTTAAGTCCAGTAATAACCAAACCAGAAAACATAACATCCATATAGTCATTGAACCCAAGTAAAGAAATTCTAAATCTAGCAGCATCTGGAACCACCTATAGTAATATGATAATTAATTTAAAGTATAATACTTTCACATTTTCAAATAAGAAATCTCAAATGAAAATTTAACATTACCTTAAGTTTTTTTCTCCCACCATTTCCACCATCAGCATCAAATAAAACCAGTTTCGTGATCTCAAATAATTCCTGTTTCATTAAGAAGTAATTCTCTCCAAAGTTGCCACTATTTTCGAAACAATTGCCATTATTTGTCATTTGTTTTCTATCTAACTGTTTTCCTGTCCTTAAATTTTTTTTTTTTCTTTTGAGAATAGCTTTCCTGTCCTTAAATTGAAATCTCTAATGAATTTGTCCAACCAACTTTTGATAAATAAATATTAATTTGATTACTAGCCATACTTTACAAAATATTTTGTTCCCAAACTGCGTTTCCTCCTCTTTTTCTTGATCTTTTGTCCACAAATGATTTCCAATATTTAAATCCGGCTATACACAAATTACACAAACATTCCTTAAAATAACAAAATCTTAATAATTTCACAATAAACATAAATTAAAACTTAAACTTAAACATTAATTTAAATATCAACAAATCACATAAATTTGAGAGTAAAACCAACAGGGAGTTGCAGTTTTTGAGAGATTAAATGAAGATATGAGCCTCGGCCACCAAGAAGGCCCAAAGAGAGAGAGGTGACGGACAATGCAAAGACATCTAAAAGAATGTAAGTGAGAAGCAAATCAGGAGATGCATATACATATATACATCTATTTGAGAGTAAAAGATAGTAGATATTATATATATATGTGTGTGTGTGTGCGACACCAAAGGGGTGCAACCGATGTATAAAAACTTCATGATAACTTTAAAAAACTGGTAGACGCCAATAATTCCCAAAGATCTTCATTGAGATACACACACACACACACACACACACACACACATATGCAAACGTACAAAAATGGTGCAAAGTAAAGGGGATGAACAAACAGTTACTAGTAACATATTATTGGGTTCTACATTTAAACAAACATCAGTTGATTAACTAACAGAGCAGAGAACATATTCACACCCAAATACTGGTTTTACCATATGATTGTTTCATAATAGAGTTGACAAAAAGGTAAAGGCCGATCTTATAATACAGCAATAAAGGTTAACAAAAAGAAAGAGATTGAATGAAAGTACAAGGAAAAAACAAACAAAAATAGAAACTTCTGGTTTGCTAAGCCTTTAATGGAAGCTGTACAGGGGCAACAAGGAACCAAAATATGCAGCCAAAGGGAATAAATAAAACCATATTTGAAATATGAGATAATGGAGATTGCATTCATAAACGTAAAGCAGAAAATGATGTTCATCCACCAATGACAGAACAACCAATTCCCATCCTACAACATGTTCTTCTACAAGATACTGGCGATTTAAGGAAGTTTAGAAGATTATATGGCATAAGAAACAATAGCATTCATGACAAACAGACATTTAATAGCTCTGAAGATGCAAGAATCATAAACCAGCAAACCACCTTTTATTACGGCTTAAGAAGCAGAAATATGCCTTACTAAGGGCTAATAATTGCCAATATACTGTAGTACATGAGTGGAGGAGGCATTATGTACAAACAAGTACCGATGCATGTATACATAAACGAACGAATACAACAAAATAAAACAACTAAATACAAAAACAAATTTAAGTAAATATATATGTGCAAATGTAAACACATACACTTGAGTTCATTGGATTCACAGAATATTATAAAATATATATGTGCAAATGTAAACACATACACTTAGAGTTCATTGGATTCACAGAATATTACAAAATATATATGTGCAAATGTAAACACATACACTTGAGTTCATTGGATTCATAGAATATTATAACAAAGATGTAAGGCACACATAAAAACAAAATGTCAATATTTGAAATCAGCAGATCTGGGAAACGAAGTCATCAAAAGCTAGAGTAATAAATAGAGTAAAACAGAAGAAATGGCATCAAACACTAAAA